TTTGCCGCCCATAAAAGCCATTTTTGCCTTCAGGATTGCCTATTTGCTTGCACTGCTTCTGCCGACGATGTTGCAGACGATGTTGCAGCTCTTCGTTGGCCCACCCTGGCAGACAGCTTCAAAGGAATGATTCAATCGAATCAGGTGGGCATGGTAAAGAGATTTTGGTTCTATTACTCTCGCACAGTAATGCCTTATTCCCAGTTCACCAAAGCGTGTTTTGTGTAGTGAAACTTTTAAAAATTCGCCATCGATTCTTCCCCCTTTTTTCGAGTTTGTGAGAAGCAGTTTTGTTTGTAAACAATCACCCCATTTGACTTTCAACCAACTGCGCCTAACACTTAAGCTGCTTCAAAGCCCACATTCTTGACTCCTCCTACTGCTGCCCGGCCCTGGCAGTAGCGCAGTAGCAGCCTTGGCTGCTCCAAATGTGTGATATGTGTCACTGAGTAGTATTTGGCGGAGTCGGTAGCTCGATCGTGTGAAGGCCTCACAATCTACATTGAGACGAAGCGTGCGCCCCTGAGTTCAATGTAGGCTGGTCAGCAATTGCAAATTTAATGGATGGCGCTTCTTCCCAACGTGTATCCTCTTGGTTGTTCCTCAGGCGTGCACGAGTCATCACGTGAGCAACCGACCATCAAACGATCATACGTTCGAACTCGGAATATATCAAGACTAGCTGAACCGTCGCTGCTTTGCTTTGCTTTGCTTTGTCGCCGTGTTAATTGATCCATCCATTGGGGCCAGATCAGTTCTAAAGATTTTGTTTGCTTTGTCGCCGAATAGCTGATAGAGCGGATAGAGGCGACTCTAACGATTGTGCTGCCTGGACCCGACGGTGCTGAGCTGTCGTCGATGACGATGACGGAACAGGCGATTCACGACACGGATTCTCGGGCATGTAGGGTCGTGAGTTTCTCTTGCGAAGTTCCACAAAAAGAAGTGGTTGGTCCCCTCTTTTTCTGTGCATACCGGTATGGTGTTGCTGCCAAGCCCAGAGCGGTAACGGAGAATGTCAAGAACCGAATACTAGCTATATAGTGGGAATCTCTGCAGATCTTTCGAAGTACGACTGTAAGATAAAAATGTAAACTAAACGTAAAGCTGGCGACACTTGTAAATCCTTGCAGCAAGCCCTCACGCATTGCTGCTCTGTTGTTGCTAATCATTCCAAGGTTGCATTAGAGCACAGGCAATCACATCCACAAAGCTGCATACCTCTGCAATCGAAATCGAGATTGCATGGTGCACCATAGCCAGGGCCGTATGTGCACGAGGAGTTCTGAAAATAGCAAAACTCTTCTGGCATAAAACCGGATAAGCCATGGCTGCCACTTACATTCAACCAACCCAAGCTTGTCATTAGCAAAAGCTCCGAAGGAAGTTCCCCAGCAAGTAGAGGCAAACTGGAAATGTCAAGATCCAACAATGCCGTCATGTTTCCGAACTCAGTTGGAATGGTCCCGGAGAAGTCATTGCTTCCCAAATATAGCCACCACAGAACATTGAGCATCTGTAGCTCCTTGGGAAGAGGCCCTGACAGCTGGTTCCTTTGGACCTCCAACATCACCAATGAGGTCATCGTTCCTATTTCGCTTGGGAGCAATCCTGTCAGAATGTTGTCCTTCAGTTCAAAGATAAATGGGAATGTCAACATTGCAAGTTCACTTGGGATTTCTCCTGTTAAGGAGTTGCCAGCGAGCCTCAGGTACATGAGGGATGTCAACATGCCAAGCTCTGTGGGGATGGGACCAGTGAACATGCCTGAACGAATGTGTAGGTACTGAAGCTTAGTCATCGTCCCAATTTCAGAGGGGATCTGGCCATGCAAGAAGCTTCCTTTTCCAGGCCTGGTAATGCTGTCTCCAACTGTTAGAGAATTTAGAGCATTGAGTGTTGCAAGTTCACTGGGAAGCATGCCTGTGAGAGGATTTCCACCAACTGCCAGATTGGTTAGGCTGGTCAACCGCCCTAGCTCTGTCGGAATTGAGCCTGTAATCTGATTGTTCTGTACAGTTATGCTGAGCAAAGATTTGGCCAAGCCAAGCTCACTTGTAATGACACCAGTCAATCTGTTGCCTTCCAGCTCTAGAAGTTCCAAGTGTTCTAGACCAAGGATTTCGGGTGTCACCAAATTAGACAATCTTGTGTGGATGTCATTGTTTCGGAGTGCCACAGCCGACAAGGTTGACAGTAAAGCAATTTCTGGTGGCATTGAGGGTGAAAATCCAGAAAGGTGCAAGTTGTCCAGTAATAGTCTCGTGAATTCACCACCTTCATTACAGGCTGAAGTGATAGTTCTGCCTGACCATTCAACGAAGTTGTCCTCATCATCAAAATATCCAAACTCAGTGGAAAACCATTGGCACTCCTCCTTTGTGTCATCCATCCACCTATCACGAATGAACTTGAACCAGTTCTCACCCTCAAATGCATAGAAGAATGTAGCAAGAGCAAACAACTGTGTCTTTCTCCATTCGGGAAGAAATGTGATGTTTTGGTGGTTGGATAGCCACTGCCATGCTTTGTACTGAGGAGAGAAGCCACTCCCAAGACTCTCCAAAGTGTGATCTGGAAGACTACCCAACAACGCATCAAGAACTCCAGTGGGAGAAGAAGATGGCACTTCTGATGGTTCCATAGAACCATACGCAGTTGGGGTTGCTGTCGATCTCATGACAACCAAGTCTGTTTCATTCTTTTGGGTTCCAACCACGAACCCCACAATAAGGGCAGCAACAACCAACAGCCAAACAGCTGCTGCAATGAAATATTTCTGTTGCTGCTTCCTTTGGAGTTCACGATGCTGGGCAGCTTGCAGATCCACAGGATTGGCGTGCGTCATGTTTGCCAGAGCCTCCGGGTCTTCCATTACTGGATCGGCTACTGCCAGCTGGTCATCCGTCACAACTTGCCTTGGTGCCACATACGGTGGTGGCAATGGAGCAGGATCCTCACGATTTGCGCGCACAAGGTCATAATCAAGAGTGCTTGTACGTTGCAAGTTTCCTCCTTGTGCAGCCATGTATGCTCCAGGTCGCATCTCCTGTTGGTGGTTTCCTCCTCGACGAAAGACTGGTAGCGGGATTGGTAGCGGTTGAATCGCGGCAGCAACACCCTCTTCAGGAGGTTGATTATGATTCTCATCACCCCGGCTTGGGTCTGTAGTAGTGGTGGTGTCAAGGGCTAGCTGCTCCTCTATACCGGTAGTAAGGTTGAATTGCTCGGTTTCTTCAGTGGCGTCCTTGGCTAGCGACTCCTCTGGCTTTGGCCCCTCCACACCATTTTGGCTGTCGGAATCGTCCATTGTTCAAACAAAATTGTTGCTGGTATTTATCAATAGACTCTTGCTCGAAGACGGATGAAAAAGTGAGCACAAACGAGTTCAATTCTGGCTCTTGGGTGGGTTGGTCGTTTGGACAGGTGCGTGCGTCATACTCAACTCTCTCTGCGCCGCAATGTTTGTTGGTGGGGTGACAGGTACCGGTGGGGGACCCAAAGCAGCGTTGAAATAGATATCGTGGACATCAGAATCTATTCACACGTGCGTCATTCGTAAACTTAAATCTCTTCTGCATGCCACGCTGACTTCATGCAGATTATTTAATTAAAGCAGAGTTCCTTTCTTGCGAACGGCTTGAAGTTTGCATTTAAAGCAGTGTTTCCTGCAGTTCCTATACACGTTGGTGAGGAACTAGTAACTTAAGAAGCACTTTTTTGTTGTTATATCCTCCTCCGGTACCGGTACAGCCTACGGTATTCACTCGAGCTGAGTGTATTAGGAGCCAGAAGCAAGCATCCATGGAGCATTTACTTATCAATCAAGACCAACTTCTTTGTGTTGCTGCAGTACATCATGTTGCACGTATAATCAATTAAGTCCTTGCCAACCTCTTTGACTCCACCGGTACCTCAGAGTTCTCGTGCAAGCTCTCAGTTTAATATACTCTCCGCTACCGTACGGTCCGCTACGGTACTCTTAACTCAAGCCCAGCAATGCTACCAGTTAGTTGTTTCTTCGGACTCCGATCGGAGTGGCGAGTGACAGTCTGCCTGTTCCTGTCAAGGCAACCTCCACTTGGAGCCCAAGAACAGCAACGGCAAAAGAATCCGGGAAAAACGACCCACGAGCCGGTCCAGGCCCGGGTATTTCCCACAGCCAAGTCTGCATAATATGCTGCTGCAACAAAGCCAACCCACAATCCCTTCCTGGAACCGAGTAGAGTAAGGAGCCATGAATGATACTAGTACTTGCAACGCAGAAGATCAGCTGGAGACAAAGGCACAGAATCAAGAAATTCAGAAGCTGATGATTCCACTCCCAGTGCTACAGAGACACACACATGCACAAGGCATACCGAGAGCACCAACTGAGTCTAACAAGCTGCTTCAAAACCCAACTTCTTGACTCCTCCTACTGCTGTCTGGCACTGGCAGTAGCGCAGTAGCAGCCTCGGCTGCTTCAAATGCGTGATATGTGTCACTGAGTAGTATTTGGCGGAGTTGGTAGCTCGTGTGAAGGCCTCGCAATCTACATTGAAAGGCGAAGCGTTTTGTTTGCTTTGTCGCCGATCGGAGCTATCTGCTAGAGCGGACAGAGGTCACTCTAAAGATCGTGCTGCCTGGACCCAACGGTGCCAGAGCTGTCGTCGATGATAATTACAGAGCAGACGATTCACGACGCGGATTCTCGGGCTTGGGCATGCAAGGTCGTTAGTTTCTCTTGCGAAGTTCCACAAAAAGAAGACTATGGGGTTTATAGAGTAGGGAAAGAAGTGGTTGGTCCGCTCTCTTTCTGTGCATACCGGTATGGTGTTGCTGCCAAGCCCAGAGGGTAACGGAGAAGGTCAAAAACCGAATACTAGCTAGCTAGTGGGAATCTCTGCAGATGTTTCAAAGTACGACTGTAACATAAAAATATGAACTAAACGTAAAGCTGGCAACACTTGCAAATCCATGTAGCAAGCCCTCACGGCTGCATTGCTGCTCTGTTGTTGCTAATCACTCCAAGGTCGCATTAGAGCAGAGACAATCACATCCACAAAGCTGCATGCCTGTGCAATCAAAATCAAGATTGCATGGTACACCATAGCCAGGAGCGCCATATGTGCACGAGGAGTTCTGAAAATAGCAAAACTCTTCTGGCATAGTACCGAATAAGCCATGGCTGCCACTTACATTCATCCACCCCAAGCTTGTCATTAGCAACAGCTCCGAAGGAAGTTCCCCAGTAAGTAGAGGCAAATTGGAAATGTCCAGCTGCAACAATTCCGTCATGTTTCCGTACTCAGATGGAATGTTTCCGGAGAAGTTATTGCTGCCAAGATATAGCCAAAACAGACCATTGATCATCGGCAGCTCTGTGGGAAGAGGTCCTGACAGCTGGTTGTTTTGGACCTCCAGAACCTTCATTGGTGTCATCATTCCTATTTCGCTTGGGAGCAATCCTGTCAAAATGTTGTCCTTCAGTTCAAAGATAAATGGGGATGTCAACAAGGCAAGTTCACTTGGGATTTCTCCAGTAAAAGAGTTGCCAGAGAGCCTCAGGGTGAAGAGGGATGTCAACATGCCAAGCTCTGTGGGAATTGGACCAGTGAACAGGCCTGATCGGATGTGTAGGTACCTAAGCTCAGTCATCGTTCCAATTTCAGAGGGGATCTGGCCGTGCAAGAAACTTCCTTCTCCAGGCCTGGTATTGCTGTCTCCAACTGTGAGGAATCCTAGAGAATTCATTGTTGCAAGTTCACTGGGAAGTGTGCCTGTGAGAGGATTTCCACCAACTACTAATGCGTTTAGGCTGGTCAACAGCCCTAGCTCAGTGGGAATTGATCCAGTAATCTGATTGTCCTTTACAGAAAATCTGAGCAAAGATTTGGTCAAACCAAGCTCACTTGAAATGACACCAGTCAATCCGTTGTTGTCCAGCTCTAAGAATTCCAATTGTGTTAGACCCAGTATTTCGGGTGTCACCAAATTGGACAATGCTGTGTGGACTTCATTGTCTCGGAGATTCAAAACCGACAAGGTTGACAATAGAGCAATTTCTGGTGGCATTGAAGGTGAAAATCCAGAAAGGTGCAAGTTTTCCAGTATTAGTCTCGTGAATTCACCATCATCATTACAGGCTGCAGTGACAAGTCTTTCTCCCCATTCAACAAAGTTGTCATCATCATCAAAATATCCAAACTCACTGGAAAACCATTGGCACTCCTCCGTTGTGTCGTCCATCCACCTATCACGAATGAACTTGAACCAGTTCTCACCCTCAAAGGCATAGAAGAATGTAGCAAGAGCAAACAACTGTGTCTTTCTCCATTCGGGAAGAAAGGTGATGTTTTGGTGGTAGGATAGCCACTGCCATGCTTTGTACTGAGGAGAGAAGCCACTCTGAAGACTCTCCAAAGTGTGCTCAGGTAGGCTATCCATCAGAATGTCCAGAACTCCAGTGGGGGCAGAGGATGGGACTTCAGAGGGTTCGATGGAGCCATCAACAGTTGGAACCTCTGTGGACTCGAGGATTACAACATTCGGCTCCTTGTACGTTTGGGTTCTCACAACGAATCCCATAATAAGGGCACTAACCAGCAACAACCATAGAACTGCAGCAATGAAAGTTTTCTGTTGCTGCTTCCGATTGAGTTCACGATGTCCGGCAGCTTCGAGATCAACAGGATTGGCATGCATCAAATCAGCCGTATCATCCTCTACGGCATTCGCCTGTACCAATCCTTCGTTTCTTGTAGATATTCGTGCTGCGCTATCGGTAGTACCACCACGGGAATCTGCTGGTCCACTATTAGCGCCCAAATTAGCACTAATGAGGCCATAGTTTAAGTTGGGGTTTCGTTGCATCTGTCCTCCTGGTGCACCCAGGAACGCACCTGGCTGAGATTGTGGTTGGATATGGGTTGCTCGGTGCAAGGCAGGTTGTGGGAGAGCCTCTCCTCCTGTGGGAGTCTGTACTGTATTTCCTGGTCCGCTATCTTGTTGTTCCCTCACCAGAGCAGCGTTTTGTGGATTGGATGCAACATCACCACATGTGTTGGCATTGGCTGTATTGGCAAATTTTTCCAGTTTGGCAGTCTCATTGATTTCCACTGCCAGGTGCATGAGGTTGTCGCGGTTAGCAGTGTTAGGTTTTTCTTTATGGAGATGTTCTTTTGCACTGAGACGTTCTGCCAAGCTGACCTGACCAGCCACAATTTCCACGATCTCTTCTTCTCTGGACTCACTTGTTTCTTGAGTGAGAAAATCTTGGTTGGCTTGTTTCACTTTCAATTCTCTGATCATGGCGACTTCTTTATCCTTTTCAAAATGTGCGGCTTCCAAATCCTGCCGATTGGTAAGAATATCCAAAACAACAGTGTCCGTGTCATGTGTGCTATGAACCGAATCTGATTCGTCCCTCTTCAACAAGGCTACTGCCAACTGGTGTAACACCGGTGGTGGTTGATGTGCGGCAGCAAAATCCTCTTCAGTAGGTTGATTATGATTCTCATCACTCCGGCTTGTGGCGATGCGGTCCGTAATAGTAAGGTTGAATGGTTCGGTTTCTTCAGTGGTGTCCTTGGCTAGCGACTCCTCAGGCTTTGACCCCTCCACACCACTTTGGCTGTCAGAAGCGTCCATTGTTGCTGCTGCAAACAAAACTGTTGCTGCAAATGTATCAATAATACGGTGGACTCGAGATCGATCTCGAAGATGGATGAAAAAGTTCCCACAAATGATCGAGTTCAATTCCGCGCCTTTTGAGAGGGTTCGTCGGGAGAGACCAGAGTGCGTCATTCTCTATACGGTACCGTAGTGTCTCTGCGCCGCAATGTGTGTTGTGGCAGTGCTACCGGTACCGGTACGGTAGCTAGCTACCAGCTAGAATAGTATCACCAGGTAATAGTGGTCGATCGGTTTCGTACATCGATCGGCTTGGCCCTCGATCGTAACTGTGGTGCGTCAAACTTCAAGACAGCTTCTTCACGGCATTCTGACTTCATGCAGACTTAGTATTTAAAGACCCTTCCGGAAGACATTCATATTATTTATTTGAGAACGGTTTGAAGTTAGCACTTAACGTGGTGTTTGCTGGAGTTCTCAGACATTTTGCGGAGGGACTAGTAACTTAGGGAAGACATTTTAATCCCTATATCCTGCCCGGTAGCATGGTTTCCTTCACCTCGGAGTTCTCATCCAAGCTCGGTGGAATGCTAGTTTCCTCCACTTTAAAATAATTTAGCCTATTGATAGAATAAGAGCTGCAACAAACACACAATCCTACTTTCCTGGAACCAAGCAACCAAACAACCAAAGAGACAGCTTTCTCGAGTATACTAGTATAGTAAGGAGCCATGAATACATGTAACGCGGAAGATCAGTCGGAGACACAGACTCAGAGTGACAGTCAAGAAAAGACGGAAGCTAATGATTCCACTCCTACCAGTGCTATTAATAGTACAGAGAGCAACGGCAACATCAACGGCAACCAAGAAACTGTAACTGTACTGACTCGTGGTACTCACTTGAATCAACCACCTCCTCTTCCAGGGGCTTACCAAGGAGCACCGGGATCTGCCTTGCGCAGAAATGAAGATCTCAATTTGGCTCTCGTGGGAGCTACTACTATTAATACCAGTAATAATAACACCAACAATACACAACCACAAAATCAATTGTCTAATAACCATCCGCTGGTAGAAGCCAATCTCGTATCCGAAGAAGAGGACACGGCCCATTTGATGCATGCCAGTCCGGTCCATCTGAATCCTACCGAAGAATCACAACAAGATCAGCGCAAGCAGAGAATCTGTCTTATTGCACTGATCATTGGTTCACTTCAGATTGGAGTTGCCATTATTGTGGGAGTGATTGTATGCAACAACCAGCAGCAGCAGCAGCAACAACTACAGGAAGAAAGCAAGCAATCCAAATTGCGGACACCCAGTCCGTCCGCCACTTTTGATTCCATGGTCCCTTCCGCCGCACCTTCAACCAGTCTGGATTGGCTGTATAGCACATTGCCAACCAGCACACGAACCAACCTACAAAATTTTAGTACGCCTCAGTGGAAAGCCTGGGATTGGCTCAATCATCACCAAAACATCACCAACTTGGCAGAGTGGAGAAAGCAACAACTCTTTGCCATGGCCACATTCTACTTTTCCTTTGAAGGAGAACAATGGCCCTCTTACATTCAAGAACGATGGATGGATGATACACTTCACGAATGTCTCTGGTTCTCCAGTGGATTTGGTTCCTTTCTCAGTAGCGGCAAATATGTTCAAAAACCGGACTTTAAAATTCAAGAACCATGTGACCCACAAGGACAATTCACTTCGTTGGCACTCTCAAAGGTGTTGTCGTCACTAGTGGGACTATTGCCGAGAATTCCTCCCGAGATTGCCCTCTTGACGTCACTTGCCCAAATCAGGTTTACAAACATGGATTTACAAGTGCCATTGGATATCTTGTTGCCATCGGAATTCTACCAAATGACCAGTTTGGTATCCTTCGATGTGGCCCGCAATCGTTATCTCTCGGGAACCATTCCGACACAGCTGCAACTCATGACGCAACTCACATCGTTGCGGCTCAACAGCAATGCTCTGACAGGGCCAATCTACAGCGTATTGGGGTTGTTGACGAAATTGACGCGTTTGGAATTGTATGCCAACGATTTGACTGGAACTCTGCCAACGGAACTGGGTCTCTGGACAAGCATGGAAAATTTGGCTCTGGGTCCGTCCCTCCTCACGGGTCCCATCCCAAGTCAAGTGGGCCATTTGTCCAACCTGACACAACTCTACTTGCAAGAGAGCTCCTTGTCGGGCAACCTCCCGAGCGAATTGGGACTGTTGACGGCATTTACGAGGCTGTGGATCCAACACAATCACATGGATGGGCCACTCCCCACAACACTGGCTCCATCCCTTGAATACTTGTGGCTCCAACACAATCAGTTCACTGGTCCAATGGCCATTGGCTGGTGGCCGTCACTGTACCAGTTGCTGCTGGGAAACAATATCATTTCGGGGACCATTCCCTCGGAGCTGGCTTTGCTGTCCAATTTGCGACGATTAGAGTTGACCAACTTGACACACATCGAAGGAACCATTCCACCGGAGCTAACATCCTTGACCTTGTTGGGACATTTGGAAGTGAGCGGTAGCCCTGGTATTACTGGCACGATTCCATCTGCATTTTGCAATTTTGAGCAGAATGCATCTTGCACCTACGAAACCAAGACTTTTACGACCCATTGCGTTCTGGAGTATGAGTGTTCCAATTGGTTGTGCGGATGCAGCTGTCCTTGTTAATGAGGAATGATTGAGTAAGAGTCTGCACTCTGCCAATTGAGGTACACTAGCTGCGGTGCCAGTTTTGCAACAATCGTCACGGCGTTTTGCACGGAAATGGATACCGCCATGGCACAAAACTTACAAGTGGGTGCTGCTGTTTGGTTCTGTTGTACTAGTAGCTAGTTATTCCCAATTTCCATCATCCGGTTGGTTGGAGTTGGGCCAAATCCTGGAGTACCATGTAGCATGGCCTTCTTCAGAGTTCTTCAGCTTGGTGGCTGCGTGGTAGCTGCAGGAGGCCGGAGTGAGATGCGTACTGCCCACCGGTACCGATCGGTTGGGTGTGGAAGCTACATGTACACGTGCAGTTTGGCCAAATATACAATATTAGTTTACCAGATAGGAGGTATCGTAGAAGCATCCACTGGATGGTTTCGATTCAAGCGGCATGTCTCTCTGGGGTAGAGGCTAGCCCAGCAACAGAGAGCGGATCAAGTACGCGCTGCTTCGAATTCGTTCTGTTATGGATCTTCGATTGAGTACTTGTATATTCTTCCACGGAGAAGCGATCATGACACAACTCCGTTCACGGCTCCATATCTATATATTGTCGTGTCATTGCCTCCTACGGTACCTAGCTAGCTAGTGCATTTTGATATTGGCGCTGTCTTCACTCTCGGCAGTGGCCTCTGTCGATCCGCCAGTTCCAGGTACATACAATGTGATTCCTTATACGGTACCTATGCTAAATTGAACTCGAGTCCTCAGTCACTGCACGATACGGTTTTCGCTGTGTTTTAGTGAAAGAACGATGCGATCTCATACGGTCCGATACGATACGATACGATACGATACGATACGATACTATTCCCGCCCCTGTCACTACCATGGCACATGCACGTCCATTGAAAACCGGTGAGTCTGGATCGCCCATGGAGGTTGTTACCTATCCTATGCCTCGACTGAGTCGCTGTAGCACGGACATGAACGGTCCACCTATAGCCACTCCCATGGATGGATTTCAGCATGCTCACGGGGCCCGACCCGACTCGTCGTACCTATACATTCAGAGCTCATTCAGTGACGCGTCCTGCCTGCATTTTCCCCTCTTTGGCATCTGTGGCAATCGTCGCCTTGATTGGCTGCTTGCTGCCGTTCTACCGGTAGTACCATAGCTACTAGTATGCCGCCACTGGATATGATAGCCCGCCAAATTCCAAAACCTACAAGCTACGAACTTTGCAAGAGAACTCCCGTGAGGCTGGAGGAAGTTTTGACTTGATTGCGAGTCGCTCCTATGAACTCCAAACTAATTAGTTGTCTTTAGCTGAAGAAGACGACGCCTACTGTGTCCACGTGTCAACGACATGAATGTGTTGTTACGAAAGTAACATACTGGTAGTAACTAACGGTACCACTCTGTACTGTAGGTAAAGTAGGAGTGAAACGTAAAAGAACTCCAGGAAGCACCGCATTAAGTCTAAACTTCAAGCAGTTCTCAAATGGGTAACGCAGTTTATTTAAACGGTGGCTTTTACATGTACTCAAGGAAAGCATAGAGATAACAGAGCCGAGAAGAGGTTGAAGTTGCCGCCAGAGAAGGCTTCCGGTAGACAGTGACATACCAGAAAGAGTAGAGTGGTATCGTAACTGCAGTACAGTACATGTACGTACGGCGAGCGGCGAGCTCGGGTCTCCGCCCTTTCTCCGATGACAAACCCATGCATGCCCCACAGAAGCCAGAGTTTTGAGCGCCCTACACATTGAACTCGATCCTGCAGGTGGTACCTCCTTCATCCCTCTTCAAGAGTGGAGCCTATTGATACGAAAACAGTCTTGATTGCAGCAACAATGGCTGCTTCCAACAGCCAGAAGGGCGTGGAGGAGCCAAAGCCTGAGGAGTCTGAACAATTCAACCAGACCACAACAAACCCCAACACCACAAGCGGCAGCAGTTATGAGAATCATAATCAACCTCCTGAAGCGGTTGCTGCTGCCTTGAAGAGGGACGAATCAGATTCGGTTCATAGCACACATGACATGGACACTGTTGTTTTGGATATTCTTACCAAGCGACACGCTTTGGAATTTGCCCAGCTTAAAAAGGATGAAGAAGTCGCCATGATCAGAGAATTGAAAGTGAAACAAGCGAACCAAGATCTGCTCACTCAAGAAACAAGTGAGTTCAGAGAAGAAAAGATAAGGGAAACTGTGGCTGGTCTGGCCAGTTTGGCAGCCGAGGAATGTGCCAATAATGCAAAAGGTGATCTCAGTCAAGAAAAAACAAATACTGCTAATGGCATCAACCTCATGCAAATAGCTGCAGAAATCAACGAAGCTGCTAAAATGGAAAAATTTGCCAATGCAGCTAACAATGCCAACACAAATGTCCCATCCAACACACAAACGCCCACAGCAGTAGAGCCTGTCCCACAACCTGGCTTGCACCGAACAACCCAGCTGCGTCCACAATCTCGGCCAGGTGCGTTTCTGGGTTCATCAGGAGGACACATGCAACGAAATCCCGACTTGAACTATGGCCTTGTTGGTGCCATTCCTGGCACTGATAGCGGTCCAGAAGTTTCGAGTGTTACTGCATTACGTACCGGTATGTCGACAAATGCAGTACATACCGGTATGTCGACAAATGAAGGGTTGGTACAGGCTAATGCCGTAGAGGATGATATGGTCAATTTGATGCATGCCAATCCTGTTGATCTCGAAGCTGCCCAGCAGCGTGCACTCCAAAGGAAGCAGCAACAGAAAAAATTCTTTGCAGCAGTTCTTTGGTTGTTGCTTGTGGCTGCCATTATTGTGGGATTCATGGTGGGAACCCAAAAGAAAAAGAAGGCGGGTGTGGTTGTCCTCAAGTCAACTGAGGCTCCAACAGCTTATGGCTCGATGGAACCATCAGAGGTACCATCCTCTGCCCCCACTGGAGCTCTGGACTTGATGTTGGGCAGTCTCCCTGATTACACTTTGGCAAGCATCAACAATGGCAGTGAGACCGCACAGTGGAGAGCATGGAACTGGCTAGCCAATCACCAGAACATCACGTTTCTTCCAGAATGGAGGAAGGTGCAGCTGTTTGCTCTTGCTACTTTTTTCTATGCATTTGAGGGTGACAATTGGAATCCTCTGATAAAGGAACGATGGATGGATGATACCAAGGCTGAGTGTGACTGGTTCTCTAGTGGGGGTGGATGGTTTACTTCGACTGGACGATACCAGAAGCTTCGGAGCGGAGAATCTCCATGCAATGATAATGGAGAGTATACCTCTCTTTATTTTCAAGGCCTCCGGCTTTCTGGTCTTTCACCATTTTTTCCACCTGAGATTGCACTCTTGACTTCCTTGTCTCGTGTAATCTTTTGGTACGATGACCTTGCTGGACCAATTTCATCTCTGTTGCCAACAGAACTTTATGCCATGACTGGATTGGCAGGGTTGGAATTGTGGATAAATCAATTGTCAGGCCAGATTCCCTCTGAGATTGCACTATTGACTTCATTGTCCCTACTTGACTTGGGGCTGAATTACCTCTCCGGCCAAATTCCCTCCGAGATAACACTATTGACTTCCTTGTCCAAGCTTCAATTGCAGCGGAATGAATTGACCGGTCAAATTCCTTCTGGGCTTGCGCTCCTGACCTCATTGACCAGACTTGACCTTTCTATGAACGGATTGATTGGTCCACTGCCCTCTGAGCTTGGGCTCCTAACCTTATTGGAGTTTCTCGCACTTGATGAGAATCAGTTTACCGGTCCGCTGCCTTCAGAGCTAGGGCTCCTGACCTCATTGAATTCTTTTTGGCTTGATGATAATCAGTTGTCCGGTCCGATTTCTTCAGAGCTTGGGCTCCTGACCTCATTGGAAGACCTGCGGATTGGTCAGAATCAGTTGACCAGTCAACTGCCTTCAGAGCTTGGGCTCCTGACCTCATTGGATCATCTATACATTCAAGACAATCAGCTTACCGGACCAATGCCTTCTGAGTTTGGTGCACTTTCTGCATTGATTAGGCTGCGGTTGAATGATAATCAGTTGAGCGGTCTATTTCCTTCTGAGCTTGGACAGGTGACCTCATTGCAAGAGCTTCACCTTGATGACAATCAGCTATCTGGCCAGATCCCAACTGAAATTGGCATGATGACATCACTGACATACCTGGCTCTTCAGAACAATATCTTGATGGGAACCCTACCTACGGGTATCCAGCTGAATCCTTCCATGGGGTTGAGACTAGATGGGAATCAGTTCTCAGGAACTGTCCCAGGGCATCTTTGTTCTTTTCTATTGTGTGATTGCGCCATAAATGAAATTACTCATTTTTCCACTTGTGCTGGTCTCACAGAAGCTCCACCTGACTGGCCTGGGCGGTTTCCAACCAAAGTTGATGATATCATGCTCAATATCCAAACTGATTATTGGCCAGAGGAAACAGCATGGGTTTGGCAGCAGGAAACCAATGTGACTGGTGTTTGGGACACAGTGGAATCAAGCGGTCCACTGGAGTATAAAAATTATGTTTACTCCTCTCTCTTCTCAGTCAGAGCCAACAACAAGTACAGACTGGTTGTATCAGACATTATTTATGGTGATGGTTTCGGCATTCCTGGATGGATCACACTGACAGTCAAGAACCAAACAGTGTTGTATTTTTCAGTAGCTGGCGAGCCCTTCAAGTTCTCTGAAATCACCATTGATGTTTTTGTTGGAGCAGATGGATCTTTTGACATGACCAATTCCACCATTCTGTAATTCTACGTTAAATATTAATACATAAATCTTGACAAGCAACTATATAGCCAACAATTTGATCAGGGAGGCGACAACTTAACACCGCTGGCAACCAGATCGGAAGAGGTAGGAAACCGTCCATTGAGTCTGGGTGGGCTTCCGACTGCCCAGGTAAATCCTTACCCACACCGCCTCGTGTCTGTAGCGTGACCTGCCGACTCACATGGATGGATTTAAAGTGTCCATGCTCCAATCAAGCATACACAGTGACCCGGCTC